TGAACCTGTGTGGTTTGATGTGCTGAAGGAGTATGTCAGTTATTGCATGTAAGCTCAATAGAGAAATATATAAAAATATGACTAGATTTCATTCTCAAGGAATTGATTTTTTAAATTTTTCTTTTCTTCTTTTCTTGATTTGGTCAAGTTCTTAGGCTGCTTTCAGGACTTCAAGCCAATAAAATTTCATGGGTTTGTTTCCCTAACTGAAAGAGAGAAGAGGTTATTCCTTGTCACTGTTTTGGCCTGTACAGCTTCTTAAGAAAAGAGAGAATACCTTAGGAGACAAAATCTTTAATTAGTTTGGTAATATTGGTAGTAATATTGGTAGTAATGTTGGTAGATTAAGAACAACACTCGAGCATTTTATGTTACATCGTCTTCTGCATACTAATGCAGTGCTATAGATTTAGAAATTAGTGAATTAAGCTAAATGCATTTAGCTTGTTAATTAAATTTTATCCTCCTCTGCAGCTGTTTCGTATGAACACACTTTATTATTAATAAATAAATAAATACAGCCACATAGTTCAGGAAAAGCGACGTCATTACACAAGTTGTGTGTAATACAACATTTACACCAGAGCTGACCAAACTGCGGGCCAGTGAGGTGTCTGCTGTGCGTTAAAGGTACTCCTAAACTTGCCGTAGAGGTAGAGTTTGCCGTCAATGTTAATGCTGGCATCCATTTCAGAGCGACTGCTCAGATCCGTAGGGTTGACTTGTGTGCTCCCTGGGCCCCACATCTGTATTTATTAAAGGAGCAGCTTTCAAGCCGCTTCATTTAATGCAAACCAGCTTCTGCCCAAGGGCTCTTAGGAAATCGCCTGAGTTTGGATGCCCCTGCCTTAGAGTAAAGGAGTAAAACCTCCCGGCCAAGGAGGTAACAATAAAATCAGCGGCAGCTTACTGTTCAGCATGATGATTAGGATTTTGGTAGCCTGTGAAGTCTCGCCGGCTTAGGCGGGTGTGAAATCTGCCCTTATCAGCGTGTGACAGGAATACGCGGAGCCCATCAGGAGGCAATCTCTGCAGGCCCCAGAAAGCTGATTAAAATGTAACTCGTCTTTGGATGCATAAACATGAGAACAGTATTTCAAGAATTGAAACTAGGGGTGAAGTGGGTCTTAGTTTAAAAAGGAGCTCTGGGGTGTTTCTGAATTAAGGGGCAGATTTTCAGAAGAGCCGCTTCTCCACTCGTCCTGCCTCTCTCTCCCCTCCATCTTGGATTTGGTGTGGGCAAGAGCTGCTTTCTGGGCCCTCCTAGGAACAAGCAAATCAGTGCCTCTAAAAATGACACCATTTGAAAACGAGGAGTAATTTGAGGATGGAAGAAAGCTGGGGGAGACACCGAGCAGTTTTAGCCGTGGGGAAACGCCTTCATGTCAGTGCAGTTTGCTGTTGGCTGTAGTGAATGCTGTCTCGGTAAGGCTGCTTTGAAGACCTCCGTTCTCATATACTCATGGTGGCGTTTCCCTGTTATTTCAGAAAGTCAGTCACAGAGCAAGTCGAAGGCTAGTGCTGCACCTCTGCTATCGATCACTTTTGAAATAACAGGTAGGTAAATTAAGGCCTTGAGCTGGCCTTTCAATCAAAAGTGTGGTAAGGAGGGAACATCCCTTTCAGGGGAACTACGTCGGCTGTATGTGTATAACTAACATGTTTATATAGCTATGAAATAGTTTAACGGATTTATGCATTCTCAGAAAATTCAAGATCAGTTTGAAAGGGACAGGCCCGAACTCAAACTAGGGAAGTTCATGAGCTAGCTAGGACGCCAGGACAGTTCCCTCCTCCCACACCTGAACTACTTGTTGTAGCAAGTGATTGATTTTCTTCCTGATTCTGAGCGCTGGGAATTGCTTCACTGCGTTCATCACAGCTGCTATTTCCAGTCCCTTTTGCAGATTTAGAACACTGAGTTAGGGCTCCAGCAAGAATTTGAAATTTGAATATGTAGCTGAACCAGAATCCCTCATGGCATTCAGGTCTGTGTTGTCTCCTATCAGAATTCATAAGTTTAGACCTGAGGAAAAAGAGGGAGTATTGTGTGTAGTAATTAGGCATCTGACAATCAAGATTCTTGGAGGCCACTGTCATTCTGCCATTTACTTGCCACTGACTTAAATTGTTTCATGTCTAATCACCTATTTAACGGGTTTAGTCATGAAGTCGCTCTCCCAGTAAGCCTATGAGGTAGGTCGTGTCACCTTTTTCCAGGTACCTTTAAAACTCTTGATGTAGAATGAGGATAGGAGGAAAGATCCTTTATAGGAATAAATTTATTCTACATCTGCAAACACACACTTGTTGCCCTGTTAAGCATAGAACTGCTGACATGCATGGGGCTGTGCGGTTGACTAGAGGACCTGTCCTTTGATGACAGCATTCAGCATTATAGAAAATGAGGGGAAAATGTGTATTCTTTCATTGTTTGTCATAATGTGTTTTGGACTCGGGTTTTTCTCACTTTTTTGGAGTGAGAGCACTTTCCTTCTTCTCCTTCTTTTCCTTCTCCTTCCTTTGGAGTGAGACATTTCCTTCTGTTGTTTACTGTGAAACCAGAGTAACAAATGACTAGAAGGAGGAATAAGAAGTTGTGTCTGCTTATGCTGATGCAGCCACATACAAATTCAGTCTCTTTGCCAGCCTGGTCATTACTGGGCACTCGTTTGTTGAAGGTTCCTGGAGAAGAATGGGAAGGTTGAGACACCAATAAGTGTAACATCCTTAAGAACAGAACTGTGTTTTTTCTTTTCAGGTCTTTTTAAAACACAGTCATTTGGAGAGGTGTTTTATAAGGGTATATAAAATGTATTCAGCTAAAATTTCTTAATACAGTAGATGATTTGAGGACAGAGTGATTGAATCTCATTTTAGTTTTTAGGTCTCTCCCTCAAACCAGAAAGTCATACAAAATCGAGTCTAATTTTATCATTAGACTAAAGGAGAAAGAGAGATTATCAAAATGCATTCACTTTTCTTTCCATTTTTGGCCCAAAATTTGGTCAAGTTCCACAGAGAGCTTGTGGCATTACACAGAATCTAATCATCATTCAACATCACTGCCAAGGAATAAGGAACAATCTTTATTGCTGCCACAAGAGAGTACGAAAGGACAGAGATAAGACAAGGTTTTAGACTGTAAATGCCTGCATCCAGCATCATCTTCTCTCAAAGCGTCTTTGCTGAACAATAAGCAGAGCTAAGCTCATTTATACTTTTTTGATGCTGGAAGAAATCCATTTAAATTGATGGGGGCAAGATGTTCATAAGATACCCAGGCAAGGCTAAATTTTCTTACTTTACTGTCATCTCAAAGAAAGAATTCTGACTAATCCTGGGTGAGATACACCCTGAGTCTTCAATGATGAAAAAAAATTTTAATAATCTGGAATATAATTTGTCTGTCCTACTGTTGAATTCTTTTGTTTTAAAAGCAATATATGAGAGATCTGGTAGCTGACATTTGTACATCACTTGTATTCTAAGAACAGCATTTCAAAAACATTTTGGCATGTTGAGAGATTTATTGATACCACTTACCTGTCCCCAAAGCACTTCTTGCTTCCCCTACACTCTAATGAGTAATGGAAAAGGCAGATATTTTCAGTGGGTCTTTTCATTATAAATTTATTTAACAGTGTTTGCTGACAGGACCTAGAATTCTTACTGGACAGATAACTAAAAAAAAAAATTGAAATAGTGTTCCTATTACTTAACTCAGCCCCTTTAAAGCCAAACACAGTCATGATTCCTCATGTTTTAGAAGTTCAGGACCATCACAAATTTAGCCTGAAGCTAAATGGATTGCAACAGTAGCACAGTAGTACCTTCTATTGGCAGACTCTTAAAGAAATCTGGTTGAGATATGGAACATCTGTGATATGAAAATCTGCTATTAAAAGCTTCCTAATGAAAGGCCTTTGTTATTTTTCTGAGTAACATCCCAGGAACTAGTGTGATGCTAAGTGCTTTATCCTGATGCAGGCTGGAGATGAAGCAAGGCATTCCCCAGAAAGCCTCCCCTGTTCCCTGAAGCAAGGCTGTGTCTCAGGAGTGTAATTGACCCTTAATTTCAACTGTCTCACTTGGGCAATTCCCTGATTAAATCAAGGTTAAAAAGTATGGTTAGCAATTACTTACTGTTTTTCTTTTTTTTTTTCCTGAAACTATTCAATACAAATTCAATTACAGGAAAATTATGTTTATTTATATCCATGTTCTACCCAAGATATGCATGGGTAGATGTTGATTATCATACACATTAGGTGCGCGTGTCAAACTTGTAAAATTCAATGTTCTGTCACAAATTTTAATTCAACATAGCATTATGCAAATGTTGGAATATTTGTTCTTGTATTATTTTGTGTTAAGAGATTGGTGAGCTGGAGGCAGTAATGTTGGATGACTATCTGCCATCTTCATGCCTTCATTATGTGGAGCAACACAGTGTAAAACTGTGCCAAAAGAGGCAAACTGGGAAACCAAAATAGGGTTACGATTTTTCATTCCTTTTTCCCCTTAAAAAGTGAGGATTGAATGCTTTTTCTGTAACTGGAAAGTTTATCTACTTAAAAAGTCTGAATGGAAAGAGACACAGATATCTACAAATGAGGACATACTTTACGACCTGATGTTTAGTTTAACTTTATATCTGTAGTTATTGATCTTGTCTTTCAGAGCATATTTGGTGATATTCTGAACTTATTTCAGAATATGTTTCATCAGAGAGCTCTTTCCATCAAAAAAGTCTATTTGTAGTAGTGGCATAAAATTAATGAGGTAACTTTCCTCATTATAAAAAATTCTTCCTCGTTAGAAAAAATGCTGAGGGAGTAGGATGAGAGTGTTTTAACTTAAGGATTGCATGTTTCTTCAATCAACCAAACTGAATGAGTATGGCAGACTTCACTTTGCCCTCTAGCAGATATTCTCTGTTTATTTTAATATTTTGTCAAGTCCTATATTATGAAAGAGAATTAAAATCTTGCTTGCAATGAAATAATACATTTTGTTTTAGAGTTCTGTGCCTTTCTCTGGCACCTCATGGAGTCATGCCATTATTTGTGTAACCTGGGAGTTCAAAAGTATGGAAAGAGCAGGGTGATTCTGGCCTGTTCCAGGGCTTATTGATCCGTAAAGAACAGAAGAATCTGCCTTCACAAGTGTCTTTATAAGTTAATAATACTGTAAAGAAAAAAATTAATTGTCTTGTGCAGCGTTTTAATGCTTTTAAATATGTTTGTATATTTATATTATATACAAAAAATATATATATATCTAAAGCAAAGCCTTTCTTGAACTAAAGCTGCTATTGCACAAATCTTATTGCTGAGTGTGCACTTGAAGGTCTTTAGAATAAAAGAAAATTTTGTCATAATTTTAACCGTGTTTCAGGTTATAGCTTAAAAGTAGTCTTCTAAATATTAATTAACCAAGCTTTTGAAGTTATAGTATCATATAGGAGCAAAAGGATTTATACAACTTTTTGTATAGTTTCTGAAGACATACTGAATAAGACAGCAGAACATCAATTTACACAGAGCAAATGTGAACAACTGTTGTAGTAACATAATCTCTCCATTGAATGAAAGGACTGTGTCCGAGGGTGCTGCAATATCTAGAGTCTTCCTGACTCCACGCAATTGGATTTGGCTGTGTTTATACAGAAAGTAAACTGACTTCTGTTTCAATTTTTCCAAGCTATGCATTTTATCATCACTTCATCAGATCAGAATGATGAGATAGCATCTTTTCTGAGTGAAGGATGGTTCTACCCACTTAGAGCTGAGGACTGTGACCAGTGACACGTGAGAAATGTGTTGACTTTGTTTTGACAGCCTCGAGGCCAGTGGACCGTAGGCTGTGTACAGGACCTGTTCCCAGCACCTCCCAGCTGTGCCATATCCCCTGTCCTACAGAATGTGAGACCTCAGCGTGGTCAGCCTGGGGACCGTGCACCTATGAAAGCTGTGATGACCCACAGGCCAAGAAGGGTAAGTAAAAATTCAGCAAAGCCTTTTAATGGTGGTTATTTCATTTTCCTAAGTCACTAGTTACCTCTAGGTATACAAGCATATTAAATTTTGTACCAGGAAGGGTATATCAAGTGCCACTGAGCATCCAAAAAATGTCATTACATTAGGACTATATTTAGCATTACTGCTCTACCAAAGTTGGCAAAAATGTAGGCTGTTTACTAAGCTCTCAAGGTCAATTTGGGTTATTACAGGTCAATTCCAGTTTTAAACCTTCCTCTCAAAGTGAAAGGGATACAGTTTCTGTATGTGATCAAATCACAATTCTGGCACTGCCTTCCAAGAAGGACAGAAGCAGCCTTTGAAGTGCCTGGTGTCCAAGTCACTCAAAGATTTACAGTTCAATGATAGCTTAAGAATTCACCAGTAGACCATGAAGCATTTTCTGGCAAAGAGCTGAGACCATTCACTCTTGATAAGTGACACTTTTCTACTGATGACACCTGTACCGGTTTCAATTTTCATATGTTTTACAGTTTATTCCTATGCAGAACAGATCGTAGTAACTGACGACAAAACCAGAGAGCAAGAATACAGTGACAAGGACCTCATGTAAGAAGTCTGCAGGTTTCCGGCTGTAAATGAGAACTGTTCTAGTCATTGCTGTGATGTGATTATCTGACAGAAGTTGAGAATCCAGACTTGGTTCCTTGATTTAAATATACTCATAAGAAAGGAATAAGTATGTCCACTTGAAGGAGCCACTGTAATTACCATGTTAGCTTAGTTTCTTCCTGGTATACTGCTAGCTACGCTTCAGTTTGGGCAGCAATAATGCAAGTTTTACAACACTGTTTCACAGTAATGTGACCCAACCTTGATCAGTTCAAGAAGGAAAAAGCAGTTCAGTGTGTAAGCCTGCTGGATCAAGTCTCCTCTGAGTCCAACAGTCAAGTAATCTGTTATTTCTGTTGCTGTTCCATCACTGAAAGATTTGCTACATTTTCAGGGATAATGTTTAGGATTGTGAGACTGATTTGGACACCTGCCTAATGGAAGTGTACTAGGATGTACTTTATGAAAGTCTTTATTCTGGTATACATAAGCAGGGATGTTTTCTCAACTGCCAATGTTTTCGTTTTATCTGGAAATTATTTTATAATTGCATTGACAGATCTGAGAGAATGATGTAAAAGTTGTACAGGCAATTCCAGTTTTAGCAGCAAATCTCTTTACGTATTTGTTGTGGTTTAGCCCCAGCTGGCAACTAAGTCCCACACAACCGCTCCCACACTCCCCCACGGTGGGACGGGGGAGAGAATCGGAAGAGTAAAAGTGAGGAAACTCATGGTTTGAGGTAAAGACAGTTTAATAGGTAAAGCAAAAGCCACGCACGCAAGCAGAGCAAAACAAGGAATCCATTCACCACTCTCCATGGGCAGGCAGGTGTTCAGCCATCTCCAGGGAAGCAGGGCTCCATCACAGGTTTCTTGGGAAGACAGACGCCATCGCTCTGAACGTCCCTCCACCCCTTCCTTCTTCTCCGTCTCAGCTTTATATACTGAGCATGATGTCGTATGGTAGGGAATATCCCTTTGTCCATTTGGAGTCAGCTGTCCCAGTTGTGTCCCCTCCCAGCTTCCCGTGCACCCTCAACCTTCTTGCTAGCAGGCCAGCACGAGAAGCTGGACTGTCCTTGACTACTTAGCAACAACTCAAGGCATCAGCACATCATCAACGTTTTCTCATCCCAAATCCAAAACATACCCTCACACCAGCTTCTGTGAAGAAAATTAACACTACCCTGGCTGAAACCAGGACAGTATCTCAGAAATGGCCTTTTACTGTGGATCATTTGCCTCCTTTGTTGCAGTAGACACTGGAGTTGTTTTTTTGAAATTATATCAGCCTTTTGTGGCAGGCTCAGTAAACCATTTTAACATAACGAGGACCCCTTCAACTGAGAAAAAAAAAGTAAAGATACATGAAAATTTATTTTTAAAGTAATATTTATTATAAATTGATTTAATTAAGAGGCACATCTTCAAACAAGGAATCAATTCTTACGCATATGTGTTTGAAAACTCTCTCCTGTTTAGTTTGTGTCCTGGTAGAAATTAATGGGTTATATGTAGTGTTTTATAAAAAATATCTCTGTATTACTAACCTGCCTGAATATTGAGATTCAAAAAAGGAGACTGTGAAGAGATGTAAAAAGATAAAGTTAAAATATACTGATCAAATATATCAGAAACTATAGAAAATTATTACATGAGAAATTATTTTCTGAATCCATTCAGTTTGATTACGTCCTGACCATAGATTTAGTCTGGCTTTTTCAACATGCCATCCTGAAAGTGAGAGAGAGAGAGAGTTCCTCTTAGAGACTGACATCAACCTGGCAGATGATACACTGTATAAAGACCCATCAGTTGCTCTGCTCCAGAAATTTGTAAATGCTTGCAAGGGAATATTGTGGTGTTAGTTACTGAAAATTTGTTCATAGGACTTCTTGCGTTTATTTCTGTGCCTTGCCTTTTCTGGCAACGTAGTCTTTGGCGGGGGCTGTTTATAAGTTCTTTTCACTTCATAATCCATCCCTGTTGGAGGATCATAGAATCGTAGAATGGTTTGGCTTGGAAGGGACCTTTAAAAGTCATCTAGTCCAACCCCCTTGCAGGCACCAGGGACATATTCAACTACATCAGTTTGCTCAGAACCCTGTCCAACCTGACCTGGAATGCTTCCAGGGATGGGGCATTTCCCACCTCTCTGGAGAACCTGTTCCACTGTTTCACCACCCTCGTTGTGAAAATTTTTTTCCTTAGATCTAGTCTAAATCTATCCTTTCTTAGATTAATACCATTACCCCTTGTCCTATTGCAGCAGGCCCTGTTGCAATATAGATAAATATTATATTAAATAATATAGATAAGATACCTGAGAAGAAAACAACAACATATTTGAGAAATAACAACCCAGCAATCTAGTCAGGATTTGTTGGATGAGATGGACCTGACAAGAGCGATGCACAGGAAATTAATCCTGTGTCTCTTCTGGAGTATGTATGAGTAGGATAAACAGGAGATTAAAGCAAAGCTTACTGAATGAGCTCAAAACTTGTGATGCTCTTGTCAGGTTTTACCTCCCTTCTTTAATGAGTTCTTCTACACAATTACCTAAAATGCAGTGTTGTGATGAGTGTCTGTGGTGTCATTTACACAGAAGAGAAACAGAGCTGTTCCCTCAGGTTTAGATAAAAAACTCTTCACTTTGCATTTTAGAATTGAATTATTCTTCACTTTGTATTTGCATGGACATTTCAGGCTTTAAACTAAGGAAACGACGCATCATCAATGAACCTACGGGAGGAACAGGAAACTGCCCTCACCTGCTGGAAGCCATCCCGTGTGAAGAGCCCTCCTGCTACGACTGGAAAATCGTGGGACTGGAGGAGTGCATTCCTGACAATGAGAAGCCATGTGGCCCTGGTACGCAGGTTCCTGTTGTCGTCTGCATCAACAGTGATGGTAAGATACTTTTTCCCACAGTCCACACAGACTAGAGTAAAGATGCTAAAATGTAGTCTAAAAGGGTAGCAGGTTTTTTTTTTTTTTCTCAGCTTTCTCAGGCCTTAAAACCAAGCTGTCTGGAATAGAGAGAAATGTGCTTTAGTATTGGTTAGGAAGGATAGGCCCTCTAGTTGCTCCAGGATCAAGCTCCTTCACCTACATACTGTAGGTTTTCAAAGGTTCCCAAAGAGACTTTGAGAAAAGAAAATAGAAAACAGCTATTGTTTTTCAGTAGGTCACTCATGCCTATAATGACTTGACTGAATTCCCTGATGTAATCCCGCTAACAAAGCCAATCCGCTGAGTCCAAAACCAAATAAAATGGGAGTAAAGTAAGACGCATCGCAGTAAGTATAGCTAGAAGAAAAATAATAATGTGTTTATTAAAAAGCATGGTTTGATGTGTATTATGGAGTTGGTTTGACAGTCCAGGCTGTCTTGCTTCTTCAAAAGGTCAAAAAAATACCACCATTATTCAATTAACCTCTGTAAGAGCAAACAGATTTTGCATGACATAGTAATAAAAGCCAATTTTGAAAGCTGCTTACAAAATACTTTAATCTACAGAAGACTCATGAATTACCATTGTGATAATATTCCTTATTCATTAGTAATATTATAGTCTAGAGCAGCATTTGAATTAAAATAACTCTACTGACTACAGCGTAGTTATGGTGAGAGACTTCTAACTCCCTACAGAGGATTAAGTAAGGGCACACCTCTGATGAGTATTTAACAGCTGCACTAAATATTTTATAATTAAATTGGTCAGAAGTAATAAGAACTGATTATAGAGACATTTAAATCTTGAGCTTTCATGCTCAAGAGTTTGGGTCATAATTGAGTTTTGGGGCTTAAATTGAAAACCTTGGAGCATAAACTTTATTTTTCTTTATACACATCAGAGAACTTGTAACCATTTTTACAGCTCAGAAAGAGATTAGCCTAGAATTACAATACTGAATCTACTGCATTTTCTGTCCCTTTCTTAAAAGATTTCCCTTCACAGTGTAATAATTTCTTGGCAACAATACTGAAACTATTTGAAATTTTGTTTGTAGACATTTTCAGATGAAAAATGGCCTTTTCCTCATAAATGAAAGTGTGCCCTAAATAATTCTGAATTTTTCTTGGCTTTTTAATAGCAAAAAAATCCCCCTATAAACTGAATAGAAAGTATATTTTTTTGCTTCACTAGATTTTGATAGTTTGACTTATATTTAGTATTGAGGAGTGGTATTTGCTCACATGTCTATCTTCTGATTAGCCTTATTTCTTACTAATTGACTCTAATTTATTGTAACCATAATACATTTGGAGCATGCAATCGAGCTACTATGAGATATGTTTTATGTATATGCTATTTTCTATTGTTCTATTTCAAACTCATGGGATTTGCTCTCTGCAATGCATGGGCTTTGGTTTTGGCAAAATTTGACAATTTGAGTTAATGAATAACTCTTTTACTTCCAGTATTAATCTTTGTCTTTCTGGCTTATATGGTGTTATATATTGCTGTAATTATATGGAATTATACATCGCCTATCTCATCAATCTGTCCCAGGAGGAGTGAGAAGTCAGTCTTTGGCTGTGTGCCTGTCAGTCTTTAAGATTAGAGTTGTGGGCAGAGCTTCAAAGAAAGAAGAAAACAAATTGCAATTATGGTTTTCTTTGCAAAGATCCAATCACCCACAAAAATACGTGTTCAATATCTTTCAACAGAGTGCAAAAGCAATGGAGAGTAATATAGTCAATTGCCTCAGCTCCTCTTTGAAATCCCTTCCTTCTCTTCTTCTCTCCTCCTCTTCTGTGACCTTCACCAGTAATACCAAGTGGCTTTTGCTTAGGTCTTTCCTGAGAAAGATTAGCATGATACAATACAAAGAAAGTACAAAGAAAGGACCCACCAACCTTGGTAGTCTCTCCCTCCAAGCTAACCCTACTCAAGCATCTCCTTACTTTGCCTCCCACAGCACCAACCCACTGAAAATCCTGTAGGCAACTCTTAAATGCTTTTTCTGAACTACCTCTTCCCAGGTAGTTCCCATCTAGTACTCAGACCTCTGACCCTGGCACACGTATCCTTCATCAAACACTTGTTGTGGGCATCCAGATTCTGCTCTGCAAAATCTAGGAGAGCGGCATCTTGCAACCAGGCACGTTTTGCATCAAGTGACACAGCTGCAAGGTAGTTTGTGGTAAAATAAGGTTTGGAGAATGTTACTCTTTCATTGTCTAAACATCATGATTTAAATTAATCTTCATATGAAATTTGTGATATTCAGTGTTCTTTGAGCACTTCTTGGAGAAGACAACATTAAAGACTGTGATTCAATTAACAGGATAAATAATTTGTAAGATAATCATGTGTTGCTATAATTTTAATCTAAATGGCACACAGGGAATTTTGTTCGGTTTTACAGGTAAAATGATTGTGAAAGGAAACAATGTGTGGAAAGTGTTTAATCATTGACTAAGTTCGCAATGTTACTTAAACTGAGCTAATCTTTGCTTAACAATACTCTCTTCAGTCTCTTCAAGAGCTTCTTTTCTTTTTTTTAGTTCATATGAATTAATTAGCCAATCTTAAATCAATGCCTGAATAGGAGAGGTTGGATCAAAGGGACTTAAGTATATTAAAACAAAATTATATTTTCCTGTTGGCTTCTGCTTTATAAAATGAAAAAGGCTGGGTTTGTAATTTTCAGAATCAAGCATTGTACTGTAAGTGCACCGCTTTAATGTAAGATAAACCCCACACTGATGAGTATCTTCTCTTTCTGTTGACTGTTTCAGCATTCTATATGTTTAAAGCATAATTAGTTGGGATAACATGTCTTGACCTGGTGTTTTACTTTACAATTAGAATCAAGTATCAGTGTTCGTGAGATCATTTTATATAACTGGAATGAGCTCCTCTCTTCAATTTGGTGTAAAGATAAGAGTCATTACAGCCTTTGAGACAATAGCAAACAATAGATTATCCTCCTGTGTTGTTGCTGGAAGCCTATGAATGTCATTCTCTTTCAACAACTGATTGCAGTAATCAGAATTTTCATTCAGGCTGAAAAGAAATACGACAGTCAGTACCCCACGTTGTCATTGCTGTGGTTATAATGAACTTTGATGTATTTTATTATATAAATGGAACTTCAGGCTCTTACTGTGGAAAGAACATTTTCAGAATAAATATTCTTAGTACGTCTTTCAGGAAATTTTACAATTCACTCTCCTTTCAGCTGTTGAAACTCCAAGATTGGACAGAAGCTGATCAGAATTCCTTCTTCATATACATTATTTTAATGATTAGAGATCTGTGGCTAATGTTCCATGCTACAGATTAACTTTTGCTAACGATGGAATGACGTTTTTAAAAAAATAAAATGCAATTAATCTATTTATATATGTAATACATATGGCATACTTGCATGCAGGTACACACACAGTTATGTACATATTATCTATTATTAGATTCCTTAATGCAGTTCAGAGGACTGATTTTACAACAGATTAATTTGATCTATTTCTCTGTCGCTATGGCAATCATGAAGAATACAGTTTCAATAATATTTCGGTATTATTTAAAGACTCAGCCTATAGTAGGAAAGCTGGCCGCTTCTCCACTCTGTAACAAATACATTCGTGCTGCCCATATGTAAATAGGGCAAAATAATTTCTGACATAAAAATGTACAAAATTAACTACTGCTGAAAATGCCTACAAAATGTTGGTTCATGCATTATGCTTTTTTAGGTTTTTACCTTTGTGCTGAACTCCGCAGCACAGGTACCAGCAGTGGCAGTGGTGTCAGTAGTGTGCTTCTGATCCTCAGACAATAGGCTGAAATTACTTGCTCATTTTGTAGGAACGTGTAAATAATAAATTAGTTTACAGCCTTCATAATATACTGCGCTTTGTACCACTGCATGTGTTACTCAGAATAAAATGGATCTCACTTTTGAAGAGCAAATTTCTTCCGGACTTTGTTCAAGCTCACTGGTTGTTGGGTTACAGTTAGCTCCACAGGGGGAAGGGATGGACTCATTGCCGTCTCCTGCCCCACAGCTGTGAGAGATGACTAACCTTAGAAGAGGAAGCCATGGCAACAGCAAGGCTCTTTGTGTATATGCAAATTCCTGCAACTCCTTGAAGTAGCAAAATTGTTCCTGAAGTTGTCTGGGCAGAGATGTGTGCTGATGTAGCTGAGGGCCCCAAGTTCTCTTCTGGCACCTGGACATCCGCAGGTGATGTAGGTCTTCCTGAGACTGGAGTGCGAATTCAAACCACAGCGATATCAGTATATCCTGATGTAACACGGGTGGGCTGTGCCCTGTCTGCAATATTGAGGGCAAAAACAATGGTGTCAGGTAGTTAATTCAAAGACATAGAAGGTCTACTCTGTTTTGTTGAGATACTCAGATGTAAACATTTCAAAGCGATTAGTTTAGCTATTTTATAAGGGGTGGCTCAAACACTGTACTGTCCAAAGTGGAATAGTGTACACTTCCTTTATCTGTGCTTATTCTCAGCTAGTGTGACTGACCCACCCTTCAGCTATGTGACAATCCTATAGTAGTTGCTTTGCTATTTTTCTCTAGACTCAGAAATACTTATTTCTGAAATACAAATATTCTTTTTACTGAATTTAACTTTGCAGAAAAGCTTAAAAAATTTCTTCATGTAGTTTAAATTTTCTTCTGTAGTTTTCTGATCACTATCTATATTGTGTTTCTTAATTTTTAGCTTGTGGCTTATATCTTCTTACAATAGGCATCTAATTAAATATATAGAATAAACTTCAGGAAAGAAACTGAAGATTGGCTGGTGCAACAATTTTCACTGAAAATGTTTTGGCTGGTTAAAAAATGGCTCTTCCTGTATATTTATGGTTTGAATCAAATATACGCTAAATGACTAGTTGCTGGTCTTCATTCATTTTCATAATGGGAAACAGTAAG